CCTATTAAGGCTAATAGTTTAGCTTCAGCTACATCGCGAATATGGACACATTTGGATTTGTGCCTGAGAGAGGTAAGCCCAACTTTACCTTACGTTTCTTTATAAATTAATTTGTTTTGGCATGTTTATTGCTAAGCATATTTTATTATATACTGCAATTATATTTATCCATTAGAATTATATATTTTAAAATTCTTATTCTGTTCTTATACGGTTAAATTTAAAGGATTTGTTGTAAAGTGAGGGGAACTAAAATATCCTATAGTGTTCATAATGTTGGTACATTATAACATTATTAGGCCTGCCGTTATTATTTCTGAAAATGCAACTTATACGAGACGCATCTTTTTTTTTATTTTCCTCAAAAAAAAATTTTTTTAATTTTTTTTATTGTGTTTTTAAAAGCATGCAGCAAACGAAAATATGCGATTAATCTGTTCAAATTTGTTACTGTGGGTTAACAAATTTACATTAGTAGGCTATTCTTATGCTTGGCTTCACAGATAGCAACAGAGTCTGGGCCAAATCTGGTTTATATTCACTTCTGGCTTTTTTCAGTCTTGATTGCAAATGTTTTTTTGTTTTGTTTTTTATGTACGATGGATAATTAAAACAAATATCAGGCGTGTGTATTTATAACATCAATTACTAGGCCTACATTCTTTTTTTCAGAAATGGAAGTAACTTAAAATGTTATTGTGTGTTTGTAATTTTAATATTTTTATCTATAGGCCTATACAGCAAAACTACAGAGCTTCCAGTAGGTTATTTTACGGAGCTGTAAACACGGGAATCTCCGACCGCATGCAATCGTTGACGAACACCCAATTCATACATCAAACTAGGCTATATGTTATTAAATTGTACATAGGCTATATATCAGATTATTTTATTTACAAGTTTCATGTTTGCGTTTATCCCGTTTCCCCCCCGTTGCATCTGAAAATTACTTTCAGAAACATTTTTTTTTCAAAGCAAAAAAATGCTTTGAAAATTTATTTCAAACCAATAAATTGTGCCTGCCCCCTCACTTTGTGCGCTCTGGCGCCGACCCTGGATAGATAGATAGATAGATAGATAGAGAGAGAGAATATAGAATATAATATTTAAAATAATTTACCATTTTTCATTAATATTTACCATTTTTATGGTATATAATATTATTTTAATATTATTTAAAAGACTATTTAAAATATAAAACATTTTTATATGTATTTACCTGTGTGTGTGTGTGTGTGTGTGTATATATATATATTTACCATTTTTATGTTTGTGAAAGAAGCCTTGTATATTTTTACAAATTTAAAAGACAAATTAAAATAGTTCATATTTTAAAAAGTTCATACATATACAGTACATATATATATATATATAATTAAGAATCAATTATTATAATTAAAAAAATGATTGTAAAATTAGTTTGATGAGAAATTCCGGATTTTTGATGACAAATTTTGTTATCTTGGCAAATGTGAAGACTTTGAGACATTATTGGTTTTTGTCTCCAGAGAAAATCCTGAAATGCAGAAGATTTAAGAGAAAGTACCATTTTGTTCTTCACATAGTCTCATAGCTGTTTACTTTTGCGTTCTTTTTGAAGCTTGAATGTTGCCATCCTTGAAACTAGCCCTTTTCTCAGTCACAGTACTTACTGTTAGGAAAGTATGAGAGTCCATGAGTGTATTGTGCAGCGTGTTTGCGATGTGATGCTTGATGGAGTCTCTTCCAGTAAGATCACTTTACATTCACATAAGGTACAGCTTAATTAATGAAGAGGCTGAGGAATGGATTCTTTAATTAGATTAATTAGGCTCAAGACCTTGTCTGCAGAGGTCTGATGAGAATTGAATATAAGCATTCTGAAGAGCCTAGAAACCTGCATTAAGGGATCGTTATATATGGAATAAATGAACATTATGTGTCAATCAGGAAACTCAATGAATGAGGGAGAAGCTAATTGGTTTGATTACAAGCGACCCCATTAAAACTTTTGTCCCAGTCTGTCCCCATGTGCGTGAAGAGATTAGTGACTGGGATACAACTAATTGTATTAATTATCAGTATCATTATCTTCATAAGAAAGCTTAATATCATGAGAGGCCTTGCCCAATGATGCCACAATTATCATTATTAACACAGGGTTGACAGGAAAGAGGAAGGAAAGTTTCTGTTTTAGTAAGTTTCTATACGACCAATTTAGCTTTATAGCATGGTACATTACGTTTGATAGCTCAAGTTCTTGTTCTAACTAAACTATGGATGTCAGTCTCCGCCATGAGACAAAAAATAAATAAATGAAAAAGTCATTCCACGACAGAATTAAAAAATAAAAATGGTAGTTGTTACTTTTTATC